TTTTTTTTTTTTTTTGGAGACAGAATTTCACTCTGTCACCCACGCTGGAGTGCAGTGGTGCAATCTTGTGTTTTTAGTAGAGGTGGAATTTCTCCATGTTGGCCAGGTTGGTCTCAAACTTCTGACCTAAGGTGATGCACCCGCCTTGGCCTTCAAAAGTGCTGGGATTACAGGCATGAACCACCATGCCTGGCCCAGCTATCTTTTTTTTTGTTGTTGTTTGTTACCAAAGCAAACCAAAAAGTAGGTACAAGTGCAGGTTAGTTACACAGGTAAACGTGTGTCATGGGAGTTTGTTGTACAGATTTTATCACCCAGGTATTGAGCCTAGTATCCATTAGTTGTTTGTCCTGATCCTCTGCTTCTTGAGTGTTTTTTTCTTCAGACGGAGTCCTGCTGTGTCGCCCAGGCTGGAGTGTAGTGGCGTGATCTCGGCTCACTGCAACCTCCACCTCCTGGGTTCCCGCCATTCTCCTGCTTCAGTCTCCCGAGTAGCTGGGACTACAAGTACCCACCATAATACCCGGCTAATTTTTTGTATTTTTAGTAGAGATGGGGTTTCACCATGTTGGCCAGGCTGGTCTCGAACTCCTGACCTCAAGTGATCCACCCGCCTTGGCCTCCCAAAGTGCTGGGAGGCCAAGGAGGGTGTGAGCCACCACACCTGGCTATTTTATTTTTTTGTAAAACTTAAGATCTATACTCCTAGCAAAGTATGTGATTCAATATTGCTTACTATAGACACTGTTTTAGGTTGGTGCAAAAGTAATTGTGGTTTTTGCCATTGAAATGTGGTTTGCAGACACGCGTCCCCCGACGCAGGTACTAGGCATAGGAGACGAATGTGTGTTCTCCCGCAGATGCACCTACGTAACCCTTCCCAGCTGGGCTCAGCAGGATCTTCGCTCTCTTCGCCTCTGGACGGATTTCTGCTCTCTCTTCAGCTCAAACAGCAATCTGAAGTTTCTAGAAGTGAAACAAAGCTTCCTGAGCGACTCTTCTGTGCGGATTCTTTGTGACCACATAACCCGTAGCACCTGTCATCTGCAGAAAGTGGAGTAAGCAGAAACTCATCTTGCAAGGGAGACCCTGAACCATGACTCAGCTTCTTGCACTTTTTTTTTTTTAAATTTAGAAATGTGTTGTTTCATCTCCATGGATTTGGGGATTTTCCAGCTATGTTTTTTTCTTTTCTTTTCTTTCTTTCTTTCTTTCTTTTTTTTTTTTTTTGGAGACAGAATTTCACTCTGTCACCCACGCTGGAGTGCAGTGGTGCAATCTTGTGTTTTTAGTAGAGGTGGAATTTCTCCATGTTGGCCAGGTTGGTCTCAAACTTCTGACCTAAGGTGATGCACCCGCCTTGGCCTTCAAAAGTGCTGGGATTACAGGCATGAACCACCATGCCTGGCCCAGCTATCTTTTTTTTTGTTGTTGTTTGTTACCAAAGCAAACCAAAAAGTAGGTACAAGTGCAGGTTAGTTACACAGGTAAACGTGTGTCATGGGAGTTTGTTGTACAGATTTTATCACCCAGGTATTGAGCCTAGTATCCATTAGTTGTTTGTCCTGATCCTCTGCTTCTTGAGTGTTTTTTTCTTCAGACGGAGTCCTGCTGTGTCGCCCAGGCTGGAGTGTAGTGGCGTGATCTCGGCTCACTGCAACCTCCACCTCCTGGGTTCCCGCCATTCTCCTGCTTCAGTCTCCCGAGTAGCTGGGACTACAAGTACCCACCATAATACCCGGCTAATTTTTTGTATTTTTAGTAGAGACGGGGCTTCACAATGTTGGTCAGGCTGGCCTCGAACTCCTGACCTCAGGTGACCTGCCTGTCTCGGCCCCCGCTAATTTTTGTATTTTTGTTGTTGTTGAGATGGAGTCTCGCTTTGTCGCCCAGGCTGGAGTGCAGTGGCGCAATCTCGGCTCGCTGGAACCTCCGCCTCCCAGGTTCATGCCATTCTCCTGCCTCAGCCTCCCGAGTAGCTGGGACTACAGGCGCCCGTCACCACGCCCAGCTAATTTTTTGTATTTTTAGTAGAGACGGGGTTTCACTGTGTTAGCCAGGATGGTCTCGATCTCCTGACCTCGTGATCCGCCCGCCTCGGCCTCCCAAAATGCTGGGATTACAGACGTGAGCCACTGCGCTCGGCCTTTTTGTATTTTTGTAGAGTTGGGGTTTCACTATGTTGCCCAGACTGGTCTCAAACTCCTGACCTCAAGTGATTCTCTTGCCTCGGACTCCCAAAGTGCTGGGATTATAGACGTGAGCTACTGCGCCTGGCCTTCATTTTTGTATTTTTTGTAGAGATGGAGTTTCAACATGTTGCCCAGGCTGGTCTCGAACTCCTGACCTCGGGTGATCCTCCTGCCTCGGCCTCCCAAAGTGCTGGGATTACAGACACGAGCCGCCGTGCCTGGCCAAGAACTTCTAATAGTTTCTAAATGTGGAGCAGCTTTTTGTTTATACATGTCTCTACACAATGTGAGGATTGCTCGCTCAAAGTGGAATCTCTTCTGCTTTTCCCTAGGATTAAAAACGTCAGCCCTGACACTGCTTACCGGGACTTCTGTCTTGCTTTCATTGGGAAGAGGACCCTCACGCACCTGACCCTGGAAGGGCACATCGAGTGGGAACGCACGATGCTGCTGCTGCTGTGTGATCTGCTCAGAAATCACAAATGCAACCTGCAGTACCTGAGGTGGGTCTCACGGTCTCCTCTCTCCCCAGTACCCAGAGTCCGCTGCGCCGCGTTGCCGGGGGATCTAGGGAAAAGGGTAACCACTTTGGATGCCGTCCCAGACGGGGAATGTATTCCTCAAACAGGCCTGTGTGGGGAGTCAGCCTCTCCTCTTTCCCCTGCCAGCTTGGCTTCTGCGTCACATAACCAGCTCTCAATGCAAAGAAACCCCCCGAATTCTGTGCTGTGTTCCAGCTTTAGGGACGTGCTATTCCTGACTGCAGCTTGCCTACATGTTGGGATGGAGAGCAGCGGCCCCCAGCCTTTTCTGCAATGGGGGCCGATTTTGTGCGAGAGAATTATTCCATAGACAGAGGTTCGGGGGTAGTTTTGGGATGAAACTGTTCAATCTGAGATCATCGGGCACTGAAGCTAATTGTTGGTGCCTGATCCCTATGCAGTGCTATGATCCCAGCACTTTGGGAGTCTGAGGTGAATGGATCATCAATCTCAGATCATCAGGAGTTAGGTACTCATATGGAGCATGCAACCTTCTCTGCACTCCTATGAGAATCTTTTTTTTTTTTTTTGAGGGGGGAGAGAATTTTACTCTTGTCACCAAGGCTGGAGTGCAGTGTTGCGATCTCGGCTCACAGCAACCTATGCCTCCTGGGTTCAAGCGATTCTCCTGCCTCAGCCTCCCGAGTAGCTGGGATTACAGGCATGCACCACCATGCCCAACAAATGTTTGTATTTTTAGTAGAGACGGGGTTTCACCACGTTGGCCAGGCTGGTCTTGAACTTCTGACCTCAAGTGATCCACCTGCCTCGGCCTCCCAAAGTGCTAGGATTGCAGGCATGAGCCACTGCACCTGGCCAGGATAAAATTTTTATTTTGAGAATTAAGCATCAATTTGCCCCTTCTAGTCCCAGCTACACTGGAGGCTGAGGTTGGGAGGATCATTTGAGCCCAGGAGACAGAGGTTGTGGTGAGCTGTGATCATGCCACTGCCCTCCAGCTTGGGCAACAGAGCGAGATCCTGTCTCAAAAAAAATTTTTTTCCTCCCTACAAAATCATCCACACAGGCCATTTTGGTGAAACATTGCACAGAATTGTATTACAGTCTCTTGGAGATGTGGCTGGATGTTACTCTAATGGCCATTGGGGATACTTGAAAGAGCAGAGGAAAGATTAGATCTCTCCAATAATTCAGGCCAGGGTTGGAGACATGAGTAGAATGAGATAAACCGTTTTGGGAAGTGAAGCAGAAGAAGCTAATCTGAGCCGGGCGTGGTGGCTCACACCTGTAATCCCAGCACTTTGAGAGGCCGAGGTGGGTGGATTACCTGAGGTCGGGAGTTCAAGACCAGCATGGTCAACATGGTGAAATCCCATCTCTACTAAAAATACAAAAATTGGTGTGTGCCTGTAATCCCAGCTGCTTGGGAGGCTGAGGCAGGAGAATTGCTTGAACCCGGGAGGTGGAGGCTGCAGTGAGGTGAGATCACGCCATTGCACTCCAGCCTGGGTGACAGAGTGAAACTGTCCCAAAAAAAAAAAAAAAGCTGATAGGTTATACTCTGTCCTCCTAGAAGAATGACTTTTCCCACGCTTTTCACAGGTTGGGAGGTCACTGTGCCACCTCGGAGCAGTGGGTTGATTTCTTCTATGTCCTCAAAGCCAACCAGTCCCTGAGGCACCTGCACCTCTCAGCCAGTGTGCTCCTGGACGAGGGTGCCAAGTTGCTGTACAAGACCATGACACACCCAAAACACTTCCTACAGATGTTGTCGTAAGTCTCCTCTTCCCACGGGCAGCTCCAGTTTAGCTCTGGGGCCATAGAAGAGAAAGGGTAACACCTGACTTGCTGGGCCACCCACGTGGCACCTCTCGCTGACATAAACACCTGCTTCAGGCTGGGCATGGTGGCTCTGCCTGTAATCTCAGCACTCTGGGAGGCTGAGGTGGGCGGATCATCTGAGTTCAGGAGTTCGAGACCAACCTGGCCAACATGGCGAAACCCCGTCTCTATTAAAAATACAAAAAAAACAGGGTGGGTGTGGTGGCTCACGCCTGTAATCCCAGCACTTTGGGAGACCAAGGCGGGCGGATCACGAGGTCAAGAGATCGAGACCATCCTGGCTAACATGGTGAAACCCCATCTCTACTAAAAAATACAAAAAATTAGCCGGGTGCGGTTGCGGGCGCCTGTAGTCCCAGCTACTAGGGAGACTAAGGCAGGAGAATGGTGTGAACCCGGGAGGCAGAGCTTGGCAGTGAGCCGAGAGAGCGCCAATGTACTCCAGCCTGGGCGACAGAGTGAGACTCTGTCTCAAAACAAAACAAAACAGCAAAAAAAACCAGCCAGACGTGATGGTGCACATCTGTAATCCCAGCTACTCAGGAGGCTGAGCCAGGAGAATTGCCTGAAACTGGGAGGTGGAAGTTGCAGTGAGTTGAGATCGTGCCATTGCCCTCCAGCCTAGGTGACAGAGCGAGAGACTCCATCTCAAAAACAAACAACACCTGTGTCCTGTTACGGCTCCAGGTGGACCGCTACGTCTTGACCTTCTCGCATTTCTGGTCTTTCGTGGCCGTGATGACTTGCACAGGACAGAGGGCAGGGGATGAACAGGGAGGGCTGAAGCTGAGGACCCTAGCATGTGGACATCGCCAAGCAGGTTGGAGTTGTGGAAATGTTCTCATCCTTTTACCATTTGTTTCATACTTTTGCAGGTTGGAAAACTGTCGTCTTACAGAAGCCAGTTGCAAGGACCTTGCTGCTGTCTTGGTTGTCAGCCAGCAGCTGACACACCTGTGCTTGGCCAAGAACCCCATCGGGGATACAGGGGTGAAGTTTCTGTGTGAGGGCTTGAGTTACCCTGAGTGTAAACTGCAGGCCTTGGTGTAAGTCTCTGCTGGCTCTGTGTGTGTGTGTGTGCGTGTGCGTGTGCGTGCGCACGTGTGCATGCGAGTGAATTCAAGCAGGAGAGAGAAGAAAGTACTGGTTAATTCATTTCAAATGTAACTTTTAAGAACTTGATAAGAATTAAAGAATAGGCAGAGGCCAGGCACGGTGGCTCACGCCTGTAATCCCAGCACTTTGGGAGGCCGAGGCGGGTGGATCACGAGGTCAGGAGATCGAGACCATCCTGGCTAACA